TTCTATAATATTATATTTAGTACTTTAAAATATGAATTTATACGCAAATATTTTCGGTAAACCTAACGACACTTTGTTTGTAATTTGACGGTCCACTGCAGTTAGAGTGTTCATGAAGTTCCGTCCATAGAAATAATGTTATTTGTATGTGTAAAATCACTATGTCAATATGTTTATAACTGGATTTACGGGACATATAGTTTGTTTTAAAACCCATCCTAATTGCATAATTTACTGACAGGACACGATGTTCCCCACTTAAAGTTTACAAATTGTAAAACAAAAAGTTTATTTAAAAATCAACAAGGTAAATTTTAGCGGAAACCAGAATTTACTTTTTAAGTAATTTAAGATTTTCAAAAACTACCGTTCCTTTAATCATTGTACAAAAGTCATTATATTGATGTGTTGGGTGCAAAAAAGCATAGTTGCATAAAATATTGTTTTAATCTAGCTCAATTCTAACCTAAAGTAATATTAACAAAACGAGTTACCGCTATTTTGGCAAACACCTTATAAATATGTAGGCTAACGTGATTAATATTAATTGAACATTTACCCCATAAAATTAAAATAAATGTAGTAAATGTTCTATATTTATATTTAATACGAATATTAATCATGCTAAATTAAATATTTAATATTAACCGTTCTTGTTTTAATGTAAAAACACACATTTATTTAGATGTGTATAATAATGTTCTGATAAATTATATGTAATAGTCATAACCATAGGGGCGGTATGACTGGACATTCATGGATATACATTAATAAACTCATTATCAATATTTTATTTTTAATCATAACGCCCCTAAGATTATGACTTACACATATTTATTATAAATCATAAGACAATAGTGTAATAAAGTATAAATAACAAGCGATATCTTGAATATATAAAATTATACCACAAAGTACCGCTCCACGGCTTATGCAATGGCAAAATGATCTAGTTTAATATATTTTTATATTTAAATAAACTCAATTAAATGGATACTTTGTATACTTTTGGTCATTGCGGGCAAAAGGGTAAATTTATACTAACCATACCTGATCAGGTTCATTTTATGTGCTGAGTCTTCGTGGTCTGACCACTTATTTAAATTATATTTGGCCTCCCGATTGATTTAGTCATGAAATATGCTTGCGTCAATAATAGTGACGTTCTGTGTATGTTAAAAGATTTCAATGTAATCCCAAAATAACATATATTTCAGATGCAATAGAAATATTATAAATATATTAAGTAATACGACACTAAATGACTTTTGAACCAATATTATCTATCTATGTCATAGATTCTATGAGATTGTAATACTTATCAACTAATAATATAGTGAAACTCATTCATTATTATTCACAAGTTGGTAAATACGCATGAAAATGTTACATAACACATTTATATTATAAATATCATGTTATTATTAATTTATAATAAGTTCAAAATTGAATTTTTATTTTAATATAAATTATTAATAGTTATAGTAAATTTAATATTCAATTAAACCTCGTATATTTTAAAGTAAGTACAGTAAACTTAAACAAAAAAATTCATAATAACATAAATTATTTAAATATAATTATAAAGAACCTAGATTGGAAACATGTCCGGATACGATATATCAAGGTTTCCAAATTTATCGGAAATGGAAAAGTCTGAATACACGTGCAGTATATGTCAGGACATATTTTGTTGTCCAATGATTACCCCGTGTTGTCTGCAGACATTTTGTGAGGACTGTATCACCGGTTGGTTACAAAACAACAACACCTGTCCCTATGATAGGAAAAGGTTGTCATTTGACAAGTTAAGCCGCCCACCAAGGTAATTGTTTACATTGATATACATTATTGTGTTTTGGTAGACTAAAATTTATTTAAATGTTTATTTTACTTTTAATATTTAATATTTAGTTAATTGTTCAATATTTAATTGTTCAATGCACAAAATTATTATATTTTTGTTAAACAAATTTTTACAAATATGTGCATGGAATTTATTACAGAGTCATGGTAAATATGATAGGTAATTTAAATATAAAATGCGATTTTTGGGATATTGGGTGCCGTGAAATCATTAAGTTGGAGGACCTCATACAACACACCGCCATCTGTGAGCACAATGAGACAAACCATCCGAAAACGTGTGACGTATGCTATTGTGACAAAACACGTGATCACGACTGCGTCGAAGCACTACTGGAAGCCAAGTGTAGCGCGAATGACGAAATAGATTTGTTAAAGCGAATGGTGAAAGAGTTGAAAAGTGAGAAAGATAATTTCTTGATGACAATCCAGAACATGTCTACGAGAGTGAGAGAGTCAGGTAGTGATAGTAATTTTGCAACGGAACTACGAAAATTGCAAGTTGACAATGAACAACTTCGAAATGAACGCGACGAATTATTATCACGTTGCCAAAATACTGGAATAATTAATGACGTATGTTTATTTATAAAGGAAGATCAATATAAGTGGGAAGAAATATTCCCAGAAGCTTAAATATTGCCGGAAAGAAGCATACTACTTAGCACACTACTTAAGTACAACTTTCTAACCTTGTTATCTATACTGATAATCAATCTTCTTTCCGGCAATATTTAAGTTTCTGGGAATATTTCTTCCCACTCATTTTGAACTTCCTTTACTGATATAATTTTTAAAATGTTTAAATTTTATTATTTTACAATGTTTTTAGACTATCGCATTTAAACTTTTTAAAATGTTATTAACCATGATGACTGATGACCGTAAAATTCTAAAACAAATTGTTGGTAAGTATTATATCTAAAAATAAAATAAATTATATTCTTACCTGTATTATCTTAAACCATTAGGTGCATACCTGTTAAGTGAGATATCAAGTAAAAAGCAAGTTCGGCGACTAACACCCGACATTGGCAGCATGGCCAAACTATTATTAATTGTTAATCAAAATATTCAAAATAAATTAGATAATTATATATTGAAAGCCACCTGGTTAACTATGTGGAATATAACTGGTATATACATACATTTATATGTATTATATATTATTATAATACCCTGCTATTATAAATATTATATGTTAAAATTTCTTATTTTTAAAGATCAATCATTAGCAAATTGCACACAGTTTATGGACAATAAGGGTATGACAAGGTTTACAGCGTGTTTGGATACATTTCCTGATGACAAAGGTAAAAAGTAAATATACTAGTATCTTGATGACAGTTCTAGTAATTTATATTTTTCTTATATTATAGGTTTAATTCTCAATATTGTGGGCGTAATATTAAATGTGGCTGAATGTGACGAGCTCAAATTACAGCTTATAAAAAGAGATTATATTAAACGTTTCTTGATACTTTTAAACCAGAATATATATGGGAATACAATAAGTTGCAGCGTGGCATCTATTCTAACAAATTTAGGTAGTACAAATTATCTTAGTAATTATATAAAACATAGTTACTGAACACAAACCTTACCCCTACACGTGCCTTACATGAAAGGGTTCGTTCACTCAGTATTTAGCGTATAATTAATGTGATATATGTATTTGTGAACGACCCATTCCATGTAATGTTCATGTGAGGGTAAGAAATATGTTCAGGAACCATGATATAAAGCATACATTAACAAAATTTTTGATCTACAGCAATTACTAATGTTATAAGT